AATGAACAATCCCACAAAATCTGATAGAAAACGTTTGTCATTTAAAGGGCAAGACCAACAATTTTCAACAAGGTTTCCATAAATATTCAGAAATAATCCCCTCTGTAACACAACCAAGTATTTGTAAGCGAGAAATTAGTCTTTATTAAAACCCGAAGTGATGTAAGTGGTAAACGTATGCCAAATCTGTATGATTAGCATTGAGATCAGCGAGCATGTTGAATCAATTAAATCAGTTCTGGTTTTAATCAAAATTAATTTCTAGCTCGCAAAAAACCTTTCTGCATGTAATGCAGAGGGGATTATTTCTCATATATATTTAAGATTAATGAAACTTTGTTTAAAATTATTGGTTTTCCCCTTTACCAACACTCAATAATCACACCAACGTTTTAAAAATATTACCACAAAGTTTATACTGTATTGAGTTAAAGGCTTTAATAGTCAAACTATGTCTAGAAATATAATGCTACAAAACACTTCCAAAATTGAATATCTGAAAAAATCTGGAATTTGATAGAGGATTCTTCTATATATGTGTAGGCCTACCCTAGTCAACAATCCCACCAAGGTTTAAAAAGATTATTCGATTTATTGCTGGGTATTGCCACTGTATTCATAATGCGATACATATTGCGATTCAGGTGCTACGATACAATTTGTGTCACGATTTATACCCAAGTCAATATTTACCAAGAAAACAACAGGATAAATGAATAAGTGATATTTTTAGTCCTGCCGATGTCGAAGAAATGAAATTGTTTTATATCATGATATTGATGATATTATCTTTAGCCTCTAGAGCATCCATAAGATGTTTTGAAGTGATCAAGGACCATAACTCTGGTAGTAATTATCGGAAATTGCTGAAAATTAATAGGCTTCTTTGTCTCATGACCTTAAACACTGTGTATAAATTTAAAGTCAATCGGATATTAACTTTGGCCTCTAGAGCATCCACAAGATTTTTTGAAGTGATCAAGGGCCATAACTCTGGCAGTAATTATTGGAAATCACTGAAATTCAATAGGCTTCTTTGTCTCATGGCCTTAAAAACTGCGTATAAATTTAAAGTCAATCGGATATTAACTTTAGCCTCTAGAGCGTCTACAAGATTTTTCAAAGTGATCAAGGGCCATAACTCTGGCAGTAATTATCGGAAATCGCTGAAAATCAATAGGCTTCTTCGTCTCATGACCTTAAACATTGTGTATAAATTAATAGTCAATCAGATATTAACTTTAGCCTCTAGAGCGTCCACAAGACGGACGGAGAGAGAGAGAAAGAAATGGGGTTTAACGTCCACTCGACACAAACTAGGTCATTTCGGGACTGACATATGGTTTAATTTTATTTCAATAATTCGCTTGCGCGTAGGGGTCTTTAGCAGTGGGAGGAAACCGGAGGGCCCGGAGAAAACCCACGAGGTTGGACAGGCGACCCTACTCCTTGTCACGTACAACCGGGAATTCGAAACCACGCCAGTTGACTCAATGACAGGCTTTAACTTAAGATACAGCACGCACGTGCTAACCATTCGGCCATCCAACCCCCACAAGACGGACGGACGGGGGCGACGACAATATACGACCACATTTCAACGTGGGCGTATAAAAATGAAAATCAATGGGTTACTTCTTTGTCTCATGACCTTAAACACTGTATAAATTTAAAGTCAATCGGATATTAACTTTGGTCTCTAGAGCATCCACAAGATTTTTTGAAGTGATCAAGAGCCATAACTCTGGCAGTAATTATCGGAAATCACTGAAATTCAATAGGCTTCTTTGTCTCATGGCCTTAAACACTGTGTATAAATCTAAAGTCAATCGGATATTAACTTTAGCCTCTAGAGCGTCCACAAGATTTTTCAAAGTGATCAAGGGCCATAACTCTGGCAGTAATTATCGGAAATCACTGAAAATCAATAGGCTTCTTCGTCTCATGACCTTAAACATTGTGTATAAATTAATAGTCAATCAGATATTAACTTTAGCCTCTAGAGCGTCCACAAGATGGACGGAGAGAGAGAGAGAAATGGGGTTTAACGTCCACTCGACACAAACTAGGTCATTTCGGGACTAACATATGGTTTAATTTTATTTCAATAATTCGCTTGCGCGTAGGGGTCTTTAGAAGTGGGAGGAAACCGGAGGGCCCGGAGAAAACCCACGAGGTTGGACAGGCGACCCTACTCCTTATCACGTACAACCGGGGATTCGAAACCACGCCAGTTGACTCAATGACAGGCTTTAAGATACAGCACGCACGTGCTAACCATTCGGCCATCCAACCCCCACAAGACGGACGGACGGGGGCGACGACAATATAGGACCACATTTCAACGTGGGCGTATAAAAATAAAAATCAATGGGTTACTTCATGTCATGAAGATGAGTATAAATCTTTAGTCAATCGGATGGATAATGTTAATCTAAAACTGATCAAGGGCGATAACTCCAGCAGTAATTATCAGAAATTATATATGAACATTATATATCATACACTGTGTATGAGTGGGGATAACTTTAACCTCTAGGGCAAGCAATTGTGGATGATGGACGGACAACGTATGATCACATTTCCATGTGAGTGTATAAAAATTATATCAAGATCTCTGTTCAATATCACATTTACAAGATTTTATATGTTTAAAGAATTAAATGATAGAGATCTTACACATGAAGAAACTTACAATCCCTGCCAATTCAAAAAAAAAAAATGTCAATGGTAACAAGAATATACATCCAATAAACACTATTAGAGTAGACCTGTTTAAAATAATTATCAAAATTTTATAGACAAAATCATAGGCTCCTTCAAGACATTATTTCATCTTAAATATAACAATAAATAAATCTAAAACAAAGTTAAACCAGCGGCTGCCAGGCAGGATACGCCCACAGGAAATTACAATTCGATATGCGCAAATATCCAAAGGAACCAAGATCTTTGGGTTATAAACTTACATTTCAAGTTTCAAGAAAATAGGATAAAAATTGTGACCTCTATAGGGTCCACAACCTTGATATACCATATTTTTTCGCTATTTGAGAACAAGGGGCGGCCATTTTGTCTGTCAGTTTTGGGACGATTTTCACGAAATTCGAACGCAGCTGTCCTTAGGGTGTAACGGTAATATACTAAAACGTTTTTTTAAATCGGATAAAAATTATGACCTCTATAGGGTCCACAAGCTAAAAATGCGATTTTGCCTACAATCAAGGGTCATAATTCAGGAAATTACAATTCGATATGCACAAATATCAAAAGGAACGGAGATCTTTGGGTTATAAACTTACATTTCAAGTTTCAACAAAATCAGATAAAAATTGTGACCTCTATAGGGTCCACAACCTTGATATACCATATTTTTTCGCTATTTGAGAACGAGGAGCGGCCATTTTGTCTGTCAGTTTTGGGACGATTTTGACGAAATTTGAACGCAGCTGTCCTTAGGGTGTAACGGTGATATACTAAAACATTTTTTATAAATTGGATAAAAATTATGAACTCTATAGGGTCAACAAGCTAAAAACGTGATATTTCGTACAATCAAGGGCCATAATTCAGGAAATTACGATTCGATATGCACAAATATCAAAAGGAACCGAGATCTTTGGGTTATAAACTTACATTTCAAGTTTCAACAAAATCAGATAAAAATTGTGACCTCTATAGGGTCCACAACCTTGATATACCATATTTTTTCGCTATTTGAGAACGAGGGGCGGCCATTTTGTCTGTCAGTTTTGGGACGATTTTGACGAAATTCGAACGCAGCTGTCCTTAGGGTGTAATGGTGATATACTAAAACGTTTTTTTTTTAAATCGGATAAAAATTATGACCTCTATAGGATCCACAAGCTAAAAACGTGATTTTTCGTACAATCTGGGGCCATAATTCAGGAAGTTACGGTCTGATATGCGCGATAATCGAAAGGAACCGAGATCTTTAGGTTATTTATAAACTTACATTTCAAGTTTCAACAAAATCGGATTAAAATTGTGACCTCTATAGGGTCCACAACCTTGATATACCATATTATTACGCTATTTGAGAACGAAGGGCAGCCATTTTGCCTGTCAGTTTTGGGACGATTTTCACGAAATTCAAACACAGCCGTCCTTAGGGTGTAAAGGTGATATATTAAAACGTTTTTTTAAATCGGATAAAAATTATGACCTCTATAGGGTCCACAAGCTAAAAACGCGATTTTTCGCACAATCAGGGGCCATAATTCAGGAAGTTACGGTCCGATATGCATGAATATTGAAAGGAACCGAGATCTTTGGGTTATAAACTTACATTTCAAGTTTCAACAAAATCGGATAAAAATTTTGACCTCTATAGGGTCTACAAAGTTGATATACCATATTTTTTACGCTATTTGAGAACGAAAACGGCGGCCATATCGAAAGCACGCCGAGATCTTTTGGAGATAAACCTATATTTCAAGTTTCATCAAAATCGGATAAGAATTATGTCCTGTAGAGTGTCCACAAACAAATTGTGGACGGACGAACAGGGGCGACGGCATAATACGTCCACATGAAAATGTGGGCATATAAAAATAAATAATGAATATAAAAAAGAAAAAGCAACAAATCCCGCAAAAATGTAAAAAAAACTTTGAAAGATAGAACACGAAAGAAACGATTAGATCATCTGCAAATAAACAAAACATTCTAACATGCACAACTAGACGATAGTTTTTAAATTCTCATATTTCATGAAAAGATTTACTTGATTTTATGCTTCCATCTGTAAATGTCAAAATAAACAAAAATATGAAATATATAATTTTAAAATAAAGAAAACCCTTCTTGTCAAAGAAATACAATGACATGATTGAAGTTCTATAAAAATTTGTACATGCTAGTTGCGGCCTAATGAGCGATATTAAATTCCAACAGGGTTTTCATTAAAAGGAGCAGTCATTACTTTCACAGGGTATCTGATGTTACAAAAAATTAATGAATATGAAAATATAACCTACCCTTCATCAGAGTCAAGATCAGATTCAGGATTTGTTAATATGATATCTGTTGGATCAGAGTCAACATCTAATTCAGGTTCACCCGAGTCCAACAATTTGAGATTATAAACAACTACTAATGTGCCAGAATTTCCTTCAATACGATCAAACTGAGCAAAGAAATCATCTTCTGTTTTAAAGGGTGAGTACTTGTATATCAAACTCATCTCTACTTCATGCTAAAAACAAAAACATAAGGAGGTTAAAGCTACTAGGTTATTAACTGAAACTACTCTTTAGTTTTATGACGTATAGATATTTTCTGACCTTTTCAATGAACAGGGGTAATCTGGGTGAAAACAGGAATAGTTCTTTAAATAGTTATCTCCCCTTGTTCACAACAAATTGTACACTATCTTCAATTGCCAAAATTTAATAATCTACCTTCCCAAATTGTTCCTTTACAATATCAAAGACTGTTTTATATAATTTGAGTACTTCGGAAGATGACAATTATTTTCTTCAAGATCTTTACAAGGAACTAAAATATTGCAATGTTTTCAAGGAATTATTGGAAATATGACCATAAATTTTAATTAGTCCATGCTTACTCTTTATTATATACTATTCAAAAAAAGTAGGGGATATTTGATTTTGGGGGCATAATACTAAAATATGCAAATGACTATGAAAAAAGTCACTATAGAACCTAACAAAAGAAACATTTCCAGTTACATGTGACGCCCAAACGCACCAATAGCTACCGCATGGAATGCAGGTGATGCTTGGGATCATCATGGGGGTCCAACCCAAGATTTGCACGACTCTGACTTTGAATGTTACAGTCATTGTGGCATTGAATTCCAGGGTGGAAACATCAGTTTAATTGTTTTAGTGACCAGAAAACAAATTTTGATATGCGTCGGCTTACCCAAAATGAAAGGTAACGTGCCCTTGGCATGCTACAGATCGGCACAACACAGGCGGTTGTGGCGCGGACGATGAATGTTTCTCAGTCTGTCATAAGCAGGCTATGGTCCAGATACCGTGATACACAATTTGTACAGGACAGACCACACTCAGGTCGACCAAGGGCGACAACTCAAGCCCAGGATCGATTTATCCGTACCTTGGCCTTGAGAAATCGTGTCATCACAGCAAATCAGATCAGCGCTCGTCTTCAAACAGACACTGGTGTGAGAGTGAGTGGCCAGACTGCATAGGGGTCACCTTCGCGCCCGACGTCCTCCCGTGATCCTTTGTTTGAGAGATCATCACATTCAGGCAAGACGTCGTTGGTGTAGGGATCGTCAACACTGGGATAGAACGGCTTTACATGTTGTTGCAGGGCGTGTTACAGGCCAGTACTACCGGGACAACATCTTGGCAGTCCATGTTGTGCCGTTCGCACGACGTCATGGCCGCCGTTTCATCTTCCAGGATGACAACGCAAGATGTCACAGGGCCAGGATCGTTACAGGTTACCTCCAACAACAGAACATCACCACATTACCTTGGCCAGCACCGAGTCCCGACCTCTCCCCCATCGAGCATGTCTGGGACTTGCTTGGACAGAGGTTACGTCAACGTCCTGCCAATGTCCAAGAACTTGCTGCTGCGTTGCAACAGGAATGGGACAATCTGGACCAAAATGACCTTAGACGTCTCATTAGGAGTATGCCACGAATGGGACAATCTGGACCAAAATGACCTTAGATGTCTCATTAGGAGTATGCCACGTCGGATCAATGCTTGTTTGGCAAACAGAGGAGGATTTACCCGTTACTGACTTGGTTGTGATGCTGTGGTAACTTTGTCGTTGACCCCGGGTATCATTTTACCCTTATAATGGTCAGTCTGTGCCTTACTTAGTCTAACGATCATTTGGAATAAATCGATGAATGTGAACTTCATTTCATTTTGTCATTTGTTTCTTCGTCAGTTTCATTAGGTGACTTTAATAACACTTAAAAATCAAATATCCCCTACTTTTTTTGAATAGTATATGTTCCGATAACACTTTGAATACATTTGGGAAGGACATGCAAGCTTACAATTTTTACCATTAATGTACTTTTGTTAACTAACTAATTACCTTTTCTCCAGCTCTTGGACCTTTAGATAATGGATTTCGGGTTCCGGATTCAAATGATGGCAGAGGTACAATAACCTAAAAAACAAATTATAGAAGTTGACAGTGGTTTTAAATGAAATCAGTCAGTTCTGTACGCCGGGGAACACTTCAGGTGATTTGAGTACCAATACATGTGCAAGGATTAAAGAGATTTTTTTAAAGCAAAAAATACAAAAGGTGTGTGTGTGAAATAGCTTTATTTAACGTCCGCTTCCACCAAGTTGATATCACAGACAAGCTTCTTCATTCAATTATACATCTCTGCGGGAACGATAAAACTCTTCTTGACACCGTGTTCAGATAATATGACATAGCTACATTACAGTAGAATCTGTATGAGCAGCCACTCCTATTCAGCGACATCTCCTTGTAAGCGGTCACATAAATTCCCCCCGTAAAAATTCATATTCTCACAAGACCTCAATTTCATCTGAAATTTTGACTTGTATTTTAAATGGATGTTATATGAAATAATATTTTTTGTTTCACACTCTTTAGATAAGAAAAGAACATTCCTTTAACATTAGCTTAGAGCATCTCCAAGATCTTTAGAAGTGATCAGGGGCAATAACTCTGGCAGTAATTATCAAAGCTGCTTCTTTGTCAATCAACTTTATCCTCTAGAGCAATTTTTTTAATGTGATCAGTAATTATTGGAAATTGTTGAAAACATGACCTTGAGTGTATAAATTTAAAATCAGAGCCAATCCTAATTTTTTATCCAAAATTCGACCAAGAACTGAAGAAATTTGTAGAGGTCATCAAGCTCAGATCTTATTAACTAGGATAAACATCCAAATAAATTTGTATTCAAACAAATCTTGAAATTCTAAATTTATGAAATGATATGGGGTTTAACATCCTTATACAATAGCTACAGTTACCTCATCAATATGCTCTTCTTCATGAAATGTTCTAGACAAGAAGAGACAGGACATAGTTAAACCTTTCTTGGTAAAAACCATGAGATCATTGCCAATTCTCATTGAGCCTCTGAAAAAGATGTGAATTTTTTAAAACGTTTTGAGTTCAAGTATTTAATGCTAGATCCAAACTAAAGTTGGATTGTTAAAAGCACATTAGTACTTCGGCTAATGATTGAGTTTCATAAAGTCAATTCCATTTTTTGAATCTGACAGATTCAATGATTTTCTCCATTTCTTATGAAAATAAATGGTTTTAAGTAAGATTAAATCCAATCTAAATTTCAATGTTAGATTGTTAAAAAATATTAGTCATCAAGTAATGATTTTCGGTTTCATAAATCAAATAATTTCCATTTTTTTAATTTTACAGATTCCATGTTTTTCTCCATTTTCATGAAAATAAATGGTCTCAATTTGTGTTTAAAATAATTCACCTAATCATAAAAAATCCAAAGACTAGCTTACTTAGGGCAACTCAATTTGCATGGGCATCAGCTGAGCTGCATCAAGATCACTCTAAGCTATTTATTATGTGTACTAAATGATTCTGTAACCAATGTTGGCATGCAATATGATGCAATTTGGTTGATTTTACACCACTTAATGGGCATGACCAATATAAGGGCACCTTTGCATTTCAATCAGAACCTATATCAGGTAAATATTTTTTAGATGTAAAAGTGTGAAAATGTTTGAAAACTCAATTTGGTGCAGTCGTGGAAAATGAATCAATCTAACTGTCAACGATCCCTTTAGGCTTATCTAGCTCTTTTCTAATGTAGCTATACGGGTACATGTATATTAACACATCGTGGGCTGTTGTTAAAAATGTTGTGTAAAATGCAATCTCCGGTCGTCTAGAAAGATACTTTCGCGTCAGCTAACTACATTATTTTCGCTGACAAATAATACACAAAAATTGGATTATTCAAATCAGACGATAATCAATTGACTGTGATAAGATAGGTGTAGGGAGGGCTAGTTGCTATGTATTTTATTTCATGTCAGTTTACCAATATATAATGCGTGAAAACTAGCTGGTGTAATGACAGGTTTTTTTTATTGATGGTTAAGATTTCGAGTAGAGTGGGTGAAAAAAGGGAAGGCACAATATTAAACTACACCAATAACTCTGAAAGGAGATACAGAATAGCGCCTGTTTTTTGATTATCACACATTTTAACTTGACTACAGTACTGGATAACCGTGATGTTACTGTGTTTATTGTTGGGCCTGCAGTTTGTAAACTTGCTGGCTACGGGTTCTATATTACGTATCAAAATGCTGTACTACCGGTACATTTATATTTAACAAATAATCAGATAGATATAAAATGAAACCCCTGGTTCATGTGTACACAATATCACTTACGATTTCAGGCCATTGCCATACATTCCAATTTGTTGTGTTTCTGCAGATTTTTTCACTGATTTACCAAAGGTAACAATGTCGGCAGTTTCACCTGAAGTGATTCAAAATTATGAATTAAGGGATATAACTCCATTTAATTATTATTTTTTTAACAATTATATGGTCTTCCTCAAAATTCAACATATTTATCTATTTATAACCGCTGTCGACCAGTTTTTAAATATAAAATCATAAAGTGCATCGTTTAAATGACTGTCCTATTTTCCATGATAACAGCAATATTTTGCAATGCAATATATAAATACTATTACTAGAACTGTTACAAGCTAACTTCATCGCCACAAACTACAGTTTTGATATATTCCACTTACTTGGATCCATGCCTTCTCCATCATCAAGAAAGCAAAGAACATAACCACCTCGTAAACTCTTCTCCGGCACTGAAATCAAAATAAACCTCAATAATAGTTTACACAGGAAGAAATTTAGAACAAACACAAAATATTACTTTTGATATTGAAGATAACCTGCTAGTTATCACTTTACAATCATGTTAATCTGGAACCAGCGGTTCAAGAGTTTCAAGAGCTAAAAAAAAAATGGTGAAATATTTGAACGTTTTTTTAAATTGGATAATAAATATAATCTCTAGAGAGACCTCAAGCTAAAAACGCGAATTTTCCCACTATCAAGGGCCATAATTAAGGAAGTTACGATCCGATATGAGAAAATATTGAAAGGAACCAAGATCTTTGGGTTATAAACATGCATTTCAAGTTTCATCAAAATCAGAAGAAAATTGTGACCTCTAGAGTGTCAACAACCTAAAAATGTGATCTTTCGTACAATTAGGAGCCATAATCCATGAAACTTTGATCCCATACATGGCAATATCGAAAGGAACCAAGATCTTTTGGAGATAAACCTACATTTCAAGTTTCGTCAAAATCAGATAGGAATTGTGACCTGTAGAGTGTCCCCAAACAAATTGTAGAAGGATATATGACCAGGTAGAATTAGAGCATAGTTAATTTGAGGTCCCAACCATTATAGATTAGCCAGAATCCTAGTAAAAATAAACTCTGTAATTATATTAGAGAGACATGGTTTCAAAATTATTATCTATTGACCAGTTATTATTGTATTGTTACAGAATATAAGATTATACCAAGAAGTGAGTTATTGAATTTTTGTATGTTCAATCTTACACCCCCAACTAGATTGAACATACCACCCATCGTCGAAGGTTGGATTATAAGCAGGTCCATAAACCCCGGATGATAGATAGACGGATGTACAGGGGCGAGGACAATATACATCCACATGAAAATGTGGGCGTATAAAAATCAAGTTTAAACGATTTTGACGTTCATCAATAAATTATCATAGAATAAGTAAAAGTGGGCGTAAAAATCAATTTTGACGTTTATTATAGAAGTATACCAATTTTAAACATCAAATAGATAGACACAGACCTCTTATAAACACTACAAATTATTGCCTTAATTATTGCCTTTTAATATACTGAGCGCCATGGAAAACACATCACTTTTTTTTGCCAAATATTTTATTACTAGGTGGTTTTGTATGTATAATATTATGCAATACTATGAACTATTGTTTCACACAATGCTCCCAAACGCAAAAAATATTGGCCCGTGTGCACAAAAAAAATTGCACAAGATGCACATGAAAAACCCAATATTCACGTGCAGCATTGTGTGTGAGCACTTTAAAGCATGTTTTCAGCTTAATGTGCAGTACATGAACTGTGAAACGTCAATCTGTCGTAATTTGTTGTTAGACGTGTGAAGGAATCGAGCTAGAGATGCCGAGACTTACTGAAAATCAACGGAATGAAGCCATGGGAATGTCCAGGGCTGGCATGTCTACACGTGCTATTGCCACACTTCAATTGTCATCAGTCCACTATTGTAAGGTTGGTGGAACGTGTTTGAGTTACTGGATCAACACGTCACCGTCAACGTCCTGGTCCACAACGCGTTACAACCCAGGCTCAAGACCGCTACATCCGGGTCACTCATCTGCGTGACAGATTTTGCCCACGACTCGAACAGGTGCAGCAGTCGTCGGAAGACAAGGTTCAGTAAGTGCCAACACCATAAGACGTCTTCTATGAGAAGTAGGACTCCGTGCACTACAACCTTATGTTGGAGCTATCCTCAGGGATCATCACCGTCAGCGGCGTTTGATATGGGCTCAAGGACACCGGACATGGAGAATAGTAGACTAGCAAAGTGTGCTCTTCAGTGATGAGAGTTGCTTTCATCTTTATCGCGCTGATGGCCGTCAACGTGTGTGGAGACGTCTTGCAGACTGCTGCGTCTTCGGAACGAATCGATGGGGTGGGGGAAATGTAATGGTGTGGGGAGGCTTCACATTTCATCACCGGACCGCCCTACACATTTGCAGGGGTCGCGTTAATGTTGTAGCCTACCGTGATGATGTCTTGCAACCAATTGTTGTTCCAATGTTTCGAGCGCACCAACAACTTCAACACTTCCAACAGGATAATGCACGTCCGCATACCACCCGTTTTAGTATGGACTACCTGGCTGCTAACAACATCAATGTCTTGGACTGGCCAGCCATGTCTCCGGACATGGCACCGATAGAACATGTCTGGGATGAGATTGGACGCCATCTGTATCGGAGACCACAGATGCACACCATTGCTGCTTTAGAAGCTGCTCTTGTCCAAGAATGGAACAATTTGCCCCAGGCCTTCTTTCAAACATTGGTAAATTCCATGCGAAGTCGCTGCACAGCGTGCGTAAGAGCCCGTGGAGGACACACGCGCTACTGACATCTGTGTCATACTTTTGGTTTTGACCCCTCTGACTTTGTACCGTTGATTACAGATTAAACATCCATAAGTGTACAAATGTGTTGTTATTGATGTGTTCCCATTTGAATATTGTTCACAATAAGAAGCAAAATAAATAAGATATGTTTACAGGATCATTTTGTTATACGAAAGACTAAGTGATGCGTTTTCTATGGCGCTCAGTATATAAAATCCTACCTGAATACACATTGATTTTTGTTGCATTGGCATCTCTGAAAAGAAATGTGAAAAGAGAGTAATGATACATACATTTATTTGTTGTGAAGTGTAAATATTACAGGGCTTCCTGCAGTACAAATAATTTTGTGCAGTTTATCGTTTGGGTAATTTAATTTGGCAAGAAATATATCTGCATACACACATAAAGTATTTTGTGTCATGTAAAATGATTTTCAAGGACTCCTGCCAAAGTGATTTGAGCTACATAATTGTCGTCTTGTTGCTATCCCCATTTTATTTTACTACATCAGCAGTGATTACTCATAATTATGGAATCCAATTTATTTTACTTTTAACAATATCCATCTGGATGGATACATTCAAAATTAAATTATTCATTTCTGTTCTAATTCTAAATGCCATCTCAATTTATTTTACTTTAACAATATCCATCTGGGTGGCTATATTCAAAATTAAATTATTCATTTCTGTTTATTGATTCTAAATGCCATCTCAACACTATTTTGTTGGTATAATATAATACTACACAAAAGTAGCTTGTCAACCATTGTACTATAATAACCAAATAATATGTATGCAATCTAAGATTACACAACTTTGACCTATCAGTCCTCAAGGTTTTGGGGTCAAGGTCAACAATCTTCAATCTAATATCCTGTTAAAACCCCCAAAATATAAGAGTTGAACCTTAAATTTTGTTCCCTTATTAATTGTTAACTGACAACACTTTATTTTTTTTCTGCAACCCTAGGTTTATTTGCTTCAGTGCACAAATAGGTCATGATACACAGTTAGAATCCTCCCATTAATGAAACTGGGTTTTTCTGTGACGATTTTATTCAAATTCTTACCTTGCATTATCAATCAATTCTGCCAAGGCCCCAAACAGGAACTCATGAGTGGTTCTGAAAGAAAGTAAACAACAAGTGTTGAAAGGGAAATTCAATATGGGTCGAAGGTCAAATTTTTGGGATTTGGGGTAGGGAATATTTCATTAGTAATATTCCTTTAATTTCATGTCATATATCAGTTGTAATTGAAAGATTTATTGTCAATGTAGCTTGTATAGACAACATGTACATGTATGTGATGGAAATGATTTTTTGTTTTGTTTGCAATCTTTGGTACACTGTAGTTTTGTAATGAATGTGTTACTTTTGGGATTTTACTAAATAAACTGTATTTAACAAGATACCTTTTGATATAACACACATTAATAACAGCATATCTTTATTTAAAAGCAAAATATACATAGATTAATAATTCTACCAGATATAAAAATAAAGTTACAATCCTGGTAGCAATAATAAAATTACTTGATATGCCTATTTGTCAATTAAAACTTCTCAATGTCACTTGCATACATCCTTCTTTTCTGCAACAACTGGGCTGATGAAGATGAGCATGTCATGCAATGAGCTATAAGGGCTGTTATGAAGAAAATTTCCCCCCAACAGCAGCATTGCCATCTAAAGGTTCAATTACATGCACACACAGGACACACATTTTTGTCCCATCCAACCGACTAGACACTGTACCTGGGAAAGTCGTCTGTACAATGTTCATTAAGGCACTGGAGGCAACTCTGCAGCAAGAATCTAATTATTCAGTAACTAAAAATGTACATTTTATAAGTTTACTTTGCTAAGTACTAGTACTATGCCTGATACTTGTTTATTGAACATATAAAACACAATACAGTATTTGTGGATAGAGCACTATTATTTTGTATCAAAATGAATCACAAATTCATAATAAATGAACAGATTTCTGGCATATATATGCCAATACACAAAGAAGTTTTTCAAACCAAATAACTGTTATCTCCATCATAAATACAGTGTATTACATTGTTCTTAACAATTCATATAAGCTTGTACAAGAAATATTCAAATATTCTTTATAACCTAGAATCTGATACTCAATTCAGGCACTCTGGTCAACAAAGATTTTTTAACCTTATTTAGTCATCACGTAATACAAAGATTAAAAAAACATTTAACATAAAAATTAAAACACAATACAGATAATCATTGATAGTGCACTACTATTTTTAATTGAAATGAATAGGAATTTCTTGATAAATGAAAGCAGTCCTTCACGTTTAAGGGGAGCTTTTGCTCCTGCTCATCTCGATGCACTTCGGCTTTCCTTCGAAGGAGTCATTAAAGACTCCTGCAAATTAGCTAAATCGCTCTCCTAAATATTGAGATTAATAAACTACTTTCAGTTTTTGTTTACTTTTAAACTGCATATATTCAAGGTATCAGGAGCTTTTTATGGCTCCCGCACAATTGTATAAAAATGAAGGACTGTGAAAGTGCATATTAATTAAATTAAGTGTTTTTTTTTAACCAAATAACTGATGTCATGTATCACATAGTTCTAACCAATTAATATACAAGAAATATTCAAATATTCTTTAATATCTAAAGCTAAATTTAGATACTGGTCAATGAAGATTTTCAACGGATGTACAGTCATCTCAAACAATTTAAGCAAGCCAACAGTGACACTGATCCCAAAATAAATAGATTACATTCAGTATTAATTGCACATTTATCTACTTGTAAATTACTTATCATTCAAATTCCTTACCACTGTGCATAATCTGAACAGAAAATGCTCATTTAATCGCACTTATTTCATCAATCACTCAATTCCAATCACAGCTTTCATGTTCCAAAGTCTCAACCAACCAAATTGCTTATTTCTACTTAGCCTAAGCAGAAAATGCTTATCATCTAACTTAGTCAAGGTACTGATGTAATGAAACTATTCTCCCACATTTCACCACTTTTATCCAGTCTCAACAAATTTAATTGCTTACGTAACCTGAACAGAAAATTTTCATTATAGAACTTAATCAAAGGTATTGATGCAATGAAACTATACACCAAGTTTAATAAACTTTCCTTCAATTATCATCCATGTTATCAAGTACCAAGGCATCAACAAATTAAATTGCTCATCGCTGCTTAGCCCAAGTAGAAAATGCTCATCAAACTAAGTCAGGACATTCACTTAATGAACACCTACACCAAGTTGGAACAGTCTACCTCAGTTAGAAGCAGTTATTGTGTTCCAACATGTGTGACAGTGTGTGAGTTAGTTATATTTTACGTCCGCTTCCACCGAGGTGATATCGCAGAGAGTGTGTGACAGAGGGACACACCCATTTAAATAGTACCCTGCTTTTTCCTGAAGGCAGTGGGCAATTAAAATTAAATAAGTAATAGAAAACAAAAAGAAAAGAAATTATAGTTTATTAAAGATATTATCATAAATTGTATGTAGACTGTAGGTGAAAGATATTCTCTATTATCGTTTCTTTTTGCTAATGCATCTTGAGTTAGATCCATATAGACAATAAACAATTTTGCAAATCCGAACAAGCTACAATAGAAGGCTTGATCACGCTTTAACTACGTACATCTTATCAAGGCCTTCACGCAATACTCTGCATATTGCGGCACTAATTTCGATTGGGTACCAGCCCAACTTGTGAGCCTATCAGATTCCTCGACTGTCGCGAATACCAAGTCTCGGGCTTTCAAGCTAAAATGTCTACCTGTGATAATCAAGTTGCAAAGTTCAAGGTTCATTCAATGTCAAGATTTCTGTGGAGGTCGCGATGTCACAACCTCTGATTGGACGCTAATGCTCATGTGTTTGTAGATAACATAGCTATAAGTTTGGGAATTGTGAAGTAAACAAGCAACGGCCAGATGTTTTGAAACTCGCAGTCGTTGCTTCGGGAACATGCAAAAATAGATGATGTAAGTTTTACCAGCGTCACAAGCTCAGTAAAATGTCTGGCATAGTGATAGCCAACAACAGTAGATTTAGAGTTTAAATTGGAATATTTATGGAGCTGTTAAGGTTAACATTGTTCACAAATTTCAACTGATAAGAATGGCATATGCAAAGTAATCAAAAGAGTTAATTACTTATATAATTATAAAAGTCATCTTGACCTCCATGTTTTGCCTTGATAAATATCTTGGCCTTAAATTTATATTTTACAAATCTGCATTATTGGCATTAAAACACCGAAAACACTCCTCCAAAATCCATGCCCAGTCCTGATTGTGTAAAATTGGCTTACAATCTTCATCAATAATCCATTTTGAAATCAATGTATACATGTATTAAGTGTTGAATATGTGGGTCTACTGATGCATTGATTTTTCTCTGTGTGGTGTACATTGACAATAATCAATCAATTACAGCTCGAACAGGCCTATCAGATATTTTTCACTATTTGTAAAATGGGCAATCATCAAGATCCATTCACTGGCAGACCTTGTCACTAAAGAACTATCAATTGACAAGGATAAACAGAACCAGAACTTGTCACTACTATGAACATTTGAACCAATAAAGATGGAACTTATACAGGCCTAGCATTAGATAATCTTAATAATAGGCTACATTTACATCATGTATAATAGTCACAACAAGCAACTTTGATTAACAGTACAGCCATAAAGATGTAGCCTAGGCCTATTTAAATATTTGCATTCATAATTTTGGCCTTATTTTATATTAACAAAATATAAATAGTGATACACCATACATTTCTGATCAGATGACCTTATTTTAAAATAAAAAAAAAACCGTTTTAATCAATAAAATGATGTAACGAAAACTGCCAGAAAAAACATTTTAATAGTACGAAATTTTGATAAATACAATCAGATATGAATAAAACAAAATGGCGACTTCGCCATTGCTTCCATTTTCGCGTGGAAGTACATCTAGAGTTGGTGTCTTTTAAGTCCATGGCTAGAAGTAGAGAAAAGAAAAATATATTTTGCAGATTTTTGGTGTCACAATGACATCACCATACGTACGAGTTTGTATGAAGATAATCAAAGCTGAGCTGTGCTCGACTTAGTGTTGAGTAGGCCATGTCATCCAGTATATTTTTTAATAAATTTCTTGAAGAACGGCTAAAGGGTATTTCCCATTCGAGCTTCTCGATTTTTCAGCGAGACAACCTCCTTTCTGCAGCCACTCTGAGCTGGATGAATCACAAGACTGTCTACTTTTTCTGAAATTAAAAGTAGTCGCCCTCCTTAATCATTGATCGAGACACGGTATAACAATTTGCCATATATCTATCTCCTTTTTTTACAACTATATATCATTTGTCTGCTTTCAATAGCTACGAATTAGATCATTTTTCGATCAACATTGTCATAATAATTTAACCATGTGCAGCTTTCCCTCTAAATTTCTCGGACGAGGTACTTCTTTTCTATTGACGAGAATATATTCGTGCGCCCATATATTTTTTTTAATAACAAATGATTTTCAAGAAGCAAAATGTATCAAAACATTAAACAAAGTTGTATTCTAAATACCTTTAATTTCAAAGTTGGTATATCAAACTAAATAAATAGTCAAATAACATATGTATTTACTTAGCATAAAGTAGTGCGGACACATAACATAGCAGCAGTTCGCGTGGGTGATTGTTGTAACATAACTACTGGTATGTGTGGGTGAAACGAAATTATTATTAAATAGCAATATTATATGAACGATATGCTTATATGGTAGTAAAACCTTTTCTATTATCATACTGTATTATCAAATATGAAATACAAATGCAAACTTAACCATGTTACAGAATGTACTCTTTTATCAATATTATGTAGATATTTGCTGTCACAAATAATGCACAATCCACAATTTTATTAGACCATTACCATCGTGATTCATGGACATGGAAGTGGTTAGAGGATGTCGTCGAGCGAGAGTGACAACGAAGAAACTAGAAGACTGAAAGAAGCAGCTATTTCGATCTCAACGACTTCTCGTACGCCAATTAGCCTTCTTTTACGCCGTTTTTACTCAACCCCAAACACCGCATAAAGATACTGCGCTTTGATGACTGTACCGGTGTTTGTTTTGTTGTTTTATTTGTGGCAAACCGTTTCACCATTTTCGTTCGTTACTTCAGGGCTTGACGCCCAGGAACACCAGTTTTGTTGTATAACTTGCCACTGACTTAATTATGATGTGTATTGTACTGGCATTAAATGGTTGGGTCTAATGTGTACAATAGTCATTGGGCATAATCAAAACAATTTGAATTTATATGGAAAATGGCAGCCATATAACTGGATATTTGATAGCGACAAGAGAACGTCGTGCTATGTATAAAACCAAGCCAGTGAATTCTAACTATATAAAATGTGTTGTGGTTTTTATTTTGCCCTGTCGCTAAATGCCACTCAAGGTTCATAATAGGGCTTCTCTGCGATATCACTTCGGTGGAAGCGTACGTTAAATAAGGCTATCTCACCAGTATAATTATAATATAGGGAATGATTTGCAACTAGCGATGTAACACTAGCAACCAGTTACTAGTACTACTTAAATCAAATTATATGGTATTCTCTGAAACACAGGGCCCTTATTCACGAAATCTTAAACTAAGATACAATCGAAATTTTAAGAAATACTGCAATTCGATTGGCTGACCAGTAAAATCAATTTGCATATATCCAATGAAGTTGCAGTATTTCTTAAAATTTCGGTTGTAACTTAGTTTAAGTTTTCGTGAATAAGGGCCCTGCTCTTGTTTTGTTAACACCCCTATGTCTGTAAACAAAATTATTACAGGGACTAAATACCGTGCTCGTCCTTATATTGCTTCAGCACAAATCAGATTGGTACCAGATTCTTGAGTATACTTCATTACTTGACTTTACCACGGCAAAGGCTGATTTTGCAGATTATGTGTGTTATTTAATCTATTTTCAAGTGTTAGATATGCATGAGCCTGATCACAGACCCTATTGTACATTGTAAGGTCAATAGTCTTATTTACAATGTGTCAAATCGGATAACGGACATTTAAAAAAAACGTTTTACCTATTACTACACGTTGTACTATTATATCAGTATTGTATTGTGTTATACCACGTTTTATCTATCACACGTGGTACTGTTTTATCGTCGGTGTAGTATTGTAACATACCAGGTAGCCTATAATAACATCAACGACGTAAAACAAGTACTGGTTTAATATCACGCACCGTTTTGCGTTGGTATTTCCCGTCTTTATCAAACGAATGATATCCGAAGTATGTATACAGTAAAAAAAGAAGCCATAAATGTAACATACCGGTACACTATATTATAACAAGCTTGATAAAGACTGAGAGTGCAGTCGCAGTGCTGTATGTCAATAAACCAGTAATTGTTGTAATATTATCAACTCCTACGCCGAATCTATATACGCAGCCACCCTTCTCAACCGGTTGCGGATCCAGAGACCATGAAAAAGTGTGTGTGTGGGAGGGGTGTCAGGGGCGTCAACGCCGTACCCGGCGAGCAACAAAGGTGCAAATCGCACAGCGGCTTTTCCGAGTGACCTCCCCCGGAAAATTACGAAAACGTGAAGCAGATGGTGGGGGGGGGGGGGGGCATGCACCGAGCGAGCCCCCACTAGGTCAACGACATGCATTCCGCTGAATCTATACGAGCAGCCACCCCTGTAGAATTTTTTTTTATTTATCCGTCATAAACGACCACTCATCTATCGTGGCAGGGATTATCAGTTATAAATTAATCTTTTTATTTTATTAAATGTATATTGTATTGAACCACGTTTCAACTACCACACATGGTAGGCTATGACCATATTGTATTAAACCAGGTTTTACCTGCCACACGTTGTATTGTTATATCACCAGCATCATATACCATAAGACATATATATACTTATTTGATCACATTGATTGTAGACATTGCACAAATGACCACTTAGCAATATTACATAAGTAGGCCTACTTCTCTCCATCATTTTTACACTTTCTAATAAAAAAAAAATCTTAGTCACAAATATTAAACCACCATTATTAATCAGGTGTGCCATTAACATGCATGTATATAATGAATATAATACAAGTGAAATTGATTTAAAACTTTACAGTTAAACTATCTTGTAGTTACAAGTAATGGTCATGATGAAAATGGACACGCTTTATTAAATGGATTTAACAGAACTGCCTGTAGAAAGATTTCAAAAAGGTGAATTGAACAATAATGGTATTAACAATTTGTAAGTAAATATGCATCACATATCATTGGGCCCATTATGTTATTTTAAGTTTACTGTAGACTTACTATGTCGATGTATAATTTGTATCTCCAGGATAAGCACATACACACCCGTCTTTTTAATTTTGGAATTTGAACTTGACTGCCTTTTATATGATCAATGTATTTTATTTCATTGTCCCCCGCCTTTCGAAAAAAGCAGGGGACTATTAAAATCTCCGTCACACCTTTTGGGACCCAATAACTCTCTTCCCAATTGAGCTATAATGACATGTTCAAACTTGGTGTAGGTGTTATTAGGTCAATGCCTTGATGGAGTTGGAAGATGAGCATTTTCTCCTTAGGGTAAGCATAGATAAGCAATTTGATTGGTTGATGCTCTGGGACACGATAACTTTAGTTCCAATTAAGTGAGAGTGATGAAACTTGGTGAATAGTTTCATTACATCATTTACCTTGACTAAGTTCGATAATGAGCATTTTCTGCTCAGGGTAAGCAGAGCGATACACAATTTGATTGGCCGAGACTTTGGAACACAATAACTCTCCTAATTGAGCTAGAATGTTCAAACTTGGTGTAGGTGTTTATTAGGCGAATGCCTTGATGGAGTTCGAAGATGAGCATTTTCTGCTTAGGGTAAGCAGAGATAAGCAATTTGATTGGTTGATGCCTTGTGACACGATAACTTTAGTTCTAATTAAGTGAGAGTGAGGTCGGGAGATGTATACCTTTATCACATCAATACCTTGACTAAGTTCGATAATAAGCATTTTCTGCTTAGGGTAAGCAGAGCGATAAGCAATTTGATTGGTCGAGACTTTGGAGCACAATAACTCTCATTCTAGTTGAGGTAGAATGTTCAAACTTGGTGTAGGCGTTCATTAGCTTAGGTGATTGCCTTGATTGAGTTCGATGATAAACATTGCCTGCTTACGGTAAGCAGAGATAAGCAATCTGATTGATGCTTTAGGGCCAATAACTTTGGTTTTAATTAAGTGAGAGTGATGAAACTCCGAGTATAGATTCATTATATCATTACCTTGACTAAGTTTGATGATGAGAATTTTCTGCTTAGGCTAAGGATCGATAAGCAATTTGATTGATAAAGACTTTGGAACATAACAACTCTGCTTTTAATTGAGGTTGAATGTTTAAACTTGATGTTGATGTTCATTTGGTGAATGTCTTGACCGAGTTCAATGATTAACATTTCGAGCTAAAGCTAAACAGAGCTAAGCAATTTTATTGGTCGATGCTTTGGGAACAGATACCTTTGATTCTATCTGATAGAGAGTGATGAAACTTGGTGTATAGTTGATAATCGGTTTGATTGCTTGATACTTTTGAAAAAAAAAATGTACGATTAATTAATATGTGTCATCTATTTATTTTGGGATTTCGGCGGGGGACATCAGCCTCACTGTTGGCTTGTTTTGATAGAAAGAGCTTGTGGCAACACTATATTATTTAAGGTGTGCTTTTCTACTTTTTTATGTAACTAGGCTCGTGCTGGGACATGCTGGACATTTTTTTCTCTCCTGTATTCACTGAACTAATGTATTCACCAAAATGAACCGCTATATTGTCTGATTTTATCAAATTCTCGTGTAAAATCTAAAACCTAACCTTTGGCCCCTCCCACCCCCCGCTGCTCAAATCGCCGAACACGCCCATGGTAATGCCACTTACTGACATTCCCCGAAAATGGCCTAAATGTTTTATTCGATTCTATTTAGTGTATTTACTTTTTGTGTGGGCTGATAATGTGTTCTTTCAAGATTATTAGGACGCTAAACCTCATTTCATCACATTACTTTCACAATTTTAAGTTCGTAGATAACCATGTTATGATATAAACTAGAATTAGTGTTTGACCAAACATTAAACTAAAATTAGTATTCCAATAGGCCAAACAATAATCTAAAATTAGTGTTTAGGCCAAACATTAAAATAAAATTAGTAAATAAACGAACAATGAAAAAAAAACCAAAAAACAAAAAAAACCCATCCTATCTGCCCAATTCAGCACAATATTTATAAATTAGTTTCCCTTTGGGAATTTTGCAGAATTTCGAATACATCAAAAGAAGAAGACAATGAATTGAAAACAACACCAGAATTCAGATCATTTGTTGCCAAAAAGCTAGGAGCTTTTCTAGACAGGTAAAGTGACATGGTTAAAAACATTTCTAGACCACAACATTGTATCAACTGTTCGCCTGTCCAACCTCGTGGTTTTTCTCTGGGTCCTCCGGTTTCCCCCCACTGCTAAAGACCCCTACTCGTAAGCGAATTATTGAAATAAAATTTTAAAAAACACATGTTAGTCCCGAAATGACCTAGTTTGTGTCGAGTGGACATTAAACCTCCCTCTCTCTCTCTCTCAACTGTTACTCCTAAAACAATGAATAATGAAATGAATAGTCCCAATTTTATTATAGCTTTAAAGTAGCTAAGTCCGTAACTCAATATCATCCAAAATCTTCAACATTGAAAACACGAATTTTTTTGCAATTTAAATCAGCATTGGTGTTGTGGTCTTACCTGGAAAAGATGGGCTTCTGATATCCAATATTTAAGACAAAATAAACATTTTACCATTGGTACACGAATCGTGTACCATAATGCGTTTCAGCGCCATTTGTAACAAGGTGCTCAAAGAATGAGGCTAGACATATTCCACAAGTCATGTCAAACGGCGATACCATATTCTTATTTGGAGAGCATGCGCAATATATACTATCGGTGTTGACTGGAATAACCAGACGCTAGAAACTGTCTTTCGGTTGAGACTTCTGGCATATTTCGCCGAACATAACTGATGACAATTCACAGTAGAACGGAAACGATTGAATGTAAAACAGTTTATATAAATTTATATTACATTATTATATGTGTTGCGACCCATATGTGTCAATTTCTAGGCCCAAAATATTAGCGATTTAGCTCCTTTAAAATGAACATTTTATAAATCAAGGACTTGTAGTCGGATATTTAATATATAATGTAATATTATGGATGTTTCAGCAACACAAAATGCTGGACAAGGGAAGGTACTGATAATGATCTGAACAGTTCATCAGTTGACGATAGTGGTAAATACAAACTTTCCTGTACTTTAGGGCAATTACTGAAGCTATTATAGACTCGATTAGATTCATTACATAAATGTACATCCAGGGGCGCACAAACATATTTTCCTAGTGGGGCTGGCCATCAAAAAATCGACTCACTCGGCATTAGAAAATCAAATCGACCCTCCATATCAATAAAACGCCGCCCCTCTTGAAGCGAAATTCGACACAACAACAAAGGACAATTGGCCCGCATATTCTCAAAATTCGTATTCCCAAAACATTCACATACAATGTAAGATGTTCACTTTTTACTTACATTTACTGGGCATTGTAGCTAGGGTGTGCAGGAGTTTCTTCTTGAGTACGGAGTAATTTCATCCAATACTTGACAATACTAACTTTTGGTTTGAGAGACGCCGGCAAACCGAACTATTTTCCCGAATAAAACGGTCCACTCGACAAAAAAAATCGGCCCATAGATAAGTTTTATAGGTTGTGATTTATGGAAACGCCTATGCTTGATAGGTTTCAGATTGTTTTCAAGTTCCTGTGGAGACTGGATTTCCGAAGAAGAGGCAAATAAAAAATTCTGCCAGCGGCGACGGAAACGTCAGAAGTCCAGCTCAAGTGATAGGTGATTTTTGTTCTTAAAAGTACAATATTTACGAATAACCATATTGCTTCACTATAAATCTAAATATCATTTTAAAAATCAACATTTTTTTTAATTATGTGTATTTTCATATATGTATGGTATATTTTCAACTGCAGCACAGAAGATGATCGACTTGCTGAAGCAGTCGTCCCTGAAGATTTTATGTCGGCTACATCAAATAACAAACACGAAAAAAATTACAACAGTTTAGAAGAGAATAGTCCAAGTAAAAAACAAAAGAAATGCAAACATAAAACGAAGGAGAAAGATGCCGATGAACAGAGTGGTATTTTTAGTTTAAAAAAACACAAGAAGAAAAAGAGGGCAATGTCTGGAGATTGAATCCAGATCCTCTATTTTAAGCAAATGGTTTCTACAATTAATGGTTATTTTTCGGTTTTGGAAACAGCTTTACTATATCATAAACACGAGTGCATAAAATGTCAAAACGTTTTTAATTGCATCGAAACTGAATGTAGGCTTCCCAAAATTGAGGATACTAAATAGTGTAATGAAGAACTTTAGAGACTAGGACCCTTAAATCCAAACGATGGACTGATGTTTCTCAGTTATAGTTTGAATGTTGATTTGATATAGTTTGTTTGCAACAGCTTTCCTTTGGTCGACTCCTTCCACGCGCAGCTTTATGTCAGTTGATAATATAATCTATGCCACGAAGTTTTTTTTATAGCAAGTATTACTATTTCATGTGCATTCCTTGTTTTTATTTCTTTGTATACCGCTTTATATTTAATATCATACATTTCTGTTCTACTTTTTAATTTATTAATTACCTTTTCAAAAGTTGTAAATCTCACATTTTTAACCATCGTTAGTTTTGCATCTATAACTGACAGACAACATAAACTGAAAGTCTAGATGGCGCCACCAAGTCTTAAAATCAGACTGATCGACCAAGTAAATGCATTTTTTTCCTGGAAAATCGATATTAGCTCAGTGGTCAACTCAGATGAGAAATTTGTATTGTTGGATAATATACCTAATAGGTAAAAGTCGGCAATGGCTTCCAGGAACATGCTACAGCCTTATACATAGCAGAATTGGATTCAGAAACCGTTTCAAAATCAGCACATCGTCCCATTTTCCCGCCACAAATGGCAGCCATATTAAAAATATGCTAAATATATGAACATGTTATCATATTATTCAGTTGTAAACGGCAGAAATGGAATCTGCGATCCGAAAGCAGATATATTTACACCAAAGACGACTACTAAATCAATATCAGAACACCATCCCATTTTTCTGCCAATAATGGCCACCATCTTGGAAATATGCAAAATAGATGTACATGTGATCATTTTACACAGTTGTAACTGGGAGAAATGGAATCTGTGCCCCTGAAAAGATATATATTGACACCCAAGACGACCACTTAATCAATATCAGCACATCGCCCCATTTTTCCGCCAAAAAATGACTGCCATCTTAGAAATATGCAAAATAGGTCTACATGTGATCATTTTACACAGTTGTAACTGGCAGAAATTGAATCTTTGCCTATGAAAAAATATTTATTGACACCAAACACTACTACTTAATCGAAATAAGCACATCGTCAGATTTTCCCGCCAAAAATGGCCGCCATCTTGGAAATATCTTCATGAAATGATCGAAAAAAATCTGAAATATTGTCACGACCCTTGCCAATATTAATACATTGCCAAATCACAGTTGATATGTCGATAACATCATAAATAAGGTAATAATAAAAAAAATAAGTTGGAATATTATCGCAAAATGGCTACCCTCAAATAATGGCCTCCCATACTATGAAGACCTACTCAGAAAAAATGTCAACATTGGTTTTTTATCATTAAACATCAAAAACTTCAAAATAAAGCTTATTCCACGATTTCTACCCGAAAAGCCGACAGATGGGAATTATGTAACAAACCCAATTAGACTACTTTACATAATTTTCCGGTAAACGTGTCAGTTTAACGAGTCTTCACATCGATCGTATACAGATATGAAGGGTCATTTGCAAGATTGAAAACAAAATGCGGGACTCTAACTGTGTAGTAGGTAGTAGCAAGGACGGGGAAATCTTACACTACATGGAAACAGGAAAGCAACTCGAAAATCTAAGACTCGACTACTTTACTACATAGATCACGTATCAATAGAGTGATACTTACTGTCCCCAACGTTTATCGTTTTGTCTGTGGGTGCAACCGCGATTGGGCAAAAAAGTGATGAAATTGAAATTTTCGTTTACATGATAACACGCGGGGTATTGACAATGAAATAGTGTATTGCTAGTAATATAATTTATTTTGGTCTTGTCTCCAAGGGCCACTATTCTGTGTTGGAAAATAACATGTTCAGTCTTGTTGGTGTAGAGACTAGTTTAAAACAAGATGGTGTCACTTTACCTTGCCCTTACAAGGTTCGCACACTCCTTGAAAAATGAAAATGTGATTTCCAGTACTACTGGAAGATCCTGGAAAAACAAAATTACTCCTTGAAACTCCTGTGGTTTCGTGTGTTAGCTAACCTGTTTTTCCGTGAAACTCACAAATTTGCGGCTCTTCTCCCGCACGGGAGGAAATTTCTCATGAAAAATGGTCTTATGCCAATGCTACTTTTACTTTCCCAAAGGGAGAAACTACCTTACTTCCGTTTCAAAAATCAAACTCATGATTGGTTGACATTGACCAGAAACTTTTAATTCCGGTAATATGCTTGACAACCCAATGTGTGTTTGTGATTATTATTGTTTGGAATAAATAAATTATATTGTAATGGTAGCATGGTGCATGAGCGTACCTGATAAAATAGAGACCTGTACAAGGTTCTTTCCATTACAATCATTTTTCCCCATAGCTAGTACAGTAGTCCTAAACGTCTATGCGATTTTGACAATTCTCCCACGAAGAGAAAACGTTTCACGCCACGTGACTTTAGCGTGAAATCGGAAGCCGTTGACTGACATTCTGCCGACTTTCAATCTGCGATTTTGGATTACTTTTTCATCTCATTATATTACTAGCAATAGTATTATAATACTTTGATATCGATCTCAATACATGCGGATAATCGGAACCAAAAGTTATCGAAATATAAGCGCAATTATCGTTTATGTACAGGAAACACTAGCGGGAAAATACCGCTCTGAAATCACATTTCCAGGGATTTCCATTCACGCGATTACAGCCATAGACTATAAATATTAAATATATTTTATCGTTCAAATTATTACGATTTTTATAAGTTTTAGCTGGCTAATATTCGAGGATTTTATGTATATTTTCACAAAATCTTTCAAAAAATTATTTCTGTCATTAAAAATATTGATCTGAAACCGAAACAGAAATTCTATCCGATGTACACAGCAAAAATTGAGTGCACAGATATAAAGTTCTTAAGAATGATGAATGAAAATGAAGTTATTTGATGAAAAAAAAAAATCTCCCAATTTCCTGGGGTTTTTTTCATTGCTGGTCTGGGGGTTGACAGGTCTGCTATGTATTTTAAGTAAGATATAAAACTGTATGTAGTCATGAATGTTTCTTCAAAAGTTCACGAATTCGTTGCCGTAAATGGACCCGTCTTCGGTATTTCGTCAATCTCATTTTGATGAGATCGTTTATTTCTTCGAGTCAGGAAAACAATGTTCTTCAAGCGTAAAAAAAAGATACATTATGATATAGAATTCTATACAAGGACTCCTGGAATCTGATAAATAACTCCTGGAATTTTAAGTGTTCTGAGTTGTGCACACCCTGCCTTAACACTAATTCCATTACTAATTCCCGCTGAAATAAAGGTGAACAAACCTTATTGCACATTTATAAGAATAACGTGACCATTATTATTTTAATGTTCACCGTGCAAAATGCATATGTCAGCAGTTCAAAATACATTCTTTAGTTTTACAATTTGCAATGTCAGTGTTAAAATGCATTTCAATAATACAAATACAGTATAACAGTTATTTTGCACACTACACTTCTCCATCTGCCTTTCGCATTATAGACAAATGCATAATACAACTTAGCATATTAGAAAATACACCTTATATGGAATCTTGGGGGTGGGCACCAAATGCTGGGAAAATTTGGGCACACAATTGTACTTTGTAAAAGTTGTATAAAAAATATTGTGTTCTTGAATGTGTCCAATTTAACAGTGAATTTAAATTCAGGGTGTCTATAGTTAGGCAATTTAAAAATAGAAATCTTAAGACTCGAACCCTCTATTGTTTGGAGTACAGTAAGCCACGATTTACAGTTACATAGTTCTCTTTTATTGATGATTTAGAAATTAAGAACTTATTCATCGCAAAAGAGATATTGTAGAACCTGTCATGGGCCTTCAAATAAAAATTGAACTTTTTTTTTTTATTTGGTAAAAAAACTCCTCAGAATCACTTAAAATGCATATTTATTCATACATGATTTTGTAAAAAATTCGCAAGCGAATTATTGAAATAAAATTAAACCATATGTTAGTCCCGAAATGACCTAGTTTGTGTCGAGTGGACATTAAACCCCATTTCTCTCTCTCTTTCTGAATCAACTGTTACTCCTAAAACAATGAATAATGAAATGAATAGTCCCAATTTTATTATAGCTTTAAAGTAGCTAAGTCCGTAACTCAATATCATCCAAAATCTTCGACATTGAAAACACAAATTTTTTTGCAATTTAAATCAGCATTGGTGATATGAAGTGAAAAATTTGGGGCTCCCTTAACCTTGGACTTTGCCCCAGGTGTGTAGTTTTTGTTGTCATTTGAACTGGAATATTCTGTTAAAATGTGTCAAGAGTATTTTCAGTGTAATATGAATCATTTTGTATCAAATTTACAGGATATTTAAAGATAGGTTGCCAGGCAACAAAACATACGCCCACAGCAGCTAAATTGTCCGAGCAGTCGACAAGGGTTGTCGCATATTTTTTTGTAGGGGGCATTTAATAGACAATTTCATACAGATGACATTATAATTTTCGTGGTTTAAGGGTTCACAAGGTCCTAAAAACTAAAACAAGGGCCATAACTCTAGAAGTAATTGACGGAAATTGCTGACATTCAAAAGGCTTCTTAATTTCACTAATTTAAATGATGCATATAAATTTCATACAGATTGGGAGATAACTTTTGTCGTTCAAGCGTTCGCAAGGTTCAACAAAGTGAAACAAGGGCCATAACTCTAGATGTAATTAACGGAAATTTGCTGAAACTCAATAGACTTGTTGGTTTTACTAATTTAAACGATACATATAAATTTCATACAGATCGGATAATTTTATCGTCAGAGATTTCACAAGGTACAACAAAGTGAAACAAGGGCCATAGTGTAATTAACGGATATTGCTGAAATTCAATAGGCTTCTTCGTTTCACTTATTTAAATGATGCATATAAATTTCAAAGAGATCGGATGATAACTGTTGTCATTAGAGCGTTCACAAGATTCAACAAAGTGAAACAAGGGCCATAACACTAGATGTAATTAACGGAAATTGCTGAAATTCAATAGAATTCTTTGTTTTACTAATTTAAATGATGCATATAAATTTCATACAGATCGGTTGATAACTTTTGTCGTTAGAGCGTTCACAAGATGCAACAAAGTGAAACAAGGGCCATAACTCCAGAAGACATTAACGGAAGTTATTGAAATTACATAGGCTTCTTCATCTCACTAATGCAAACAACATATATCAATTTCAAAACAATCAGATGATAAATGTAGTCTGTAGAGTGTTCACAAGAAATTGTGGACAATGGACGGACGGAGGGATGGGGGAGACGGCAATATATGACCACATTTCCATGTGGGCGTCTAAAAAAAAGAGTAAAACCTGTAAGTGTTGATTTACATCCTTACGATTTGATATGTGTAGAGCTGAAGGTGAATTGATTCAAATATATCCTACCAGCTTTGGTATCAAGTACATGTATCATAAATTTGTATCAAATACCTTGTAGGCCCGTAGGCAAAATTTTTTTAGTTCTGACCCAAAACAAAGAGATCTAGTATGAATTTGTTTTTTTTTATTTCCCCAGAATGTCGGAATATATACACAATTAGAAAACCATCTGTTATGATCATAATATGAAACAACAATAATTAATAACTCTTTAACAAATTTCAACAGTGTAAATATACAAAATTCAACCACATTATATAATATTGAAATATGTCTTTTCATGACAGAACATTTAAATTACATATAATGCATAGGAAATGTGATTTGTTAAAAGTGGCACAATGGCAAATGAAAAAAAAAAAAGAATCATAAAAATCATCTGTCAGTACAGTAAATGTTGTCTCCATTCCTTTAATATTACAGTATCTTATCTACATTTGAAATACTTATTTCCATGGTTTATATATTCCAGCCATACAATATATTTTTTTTCCCTTTTATCAAATAACTGCCTATAAAGTAGGATAATTATTTTATTTTACCTATGTCAAAAAGCATTGGAACTATATACAATAACAATTTAACTTATCTATGGTCGTAATAGATAATAAGCTATGATACTGTATATATTGAATACTGGCTATCCATATACATATATTAAATATTTATATGAACACTACAACACCATATGAAAATAAAATTAATTCAAATTTAACATATTTAACTAATACCAATTAAAGCAGTGTTATCTAACAATGGTAATAAACATAACAAGTATAGGGTAATTTCTTTATGTACAACAATGGGGAAAGCCATATGATAATTTATAAATCTTATTAGCTTCCTGAAATATCTGGTAATTATTGTAACTTAAATTATTGTTGACAAAATATCAAATTTCAGAAAATATCAAATTTCTCACTCTTAATCCACACAAATATGTACTCTGATTATTTAACATTTAGTTAAAGATACATTATGGATGATAAGATAAAGAGCTGGCAGTTCTCACTATAATAGTTAAAAACGAGATGATATAAAGGGAATATGCTGAAAATTTCAGTCAAATTGCTTCACTCTAAGCCAAGAAACCTTATTTTAGAGTCACTGTAGCCTCGATTGTCATTGTTACCACTATTGTGATAGTTAACAAAGTTTTGATTATCCATTTTTAAGTTTAATCATCAAAAGATGTTGAACAGCAGATAGGATTCAAATGTAATGAAAATAGCACAGATAAGATGGCATCAAGAGTTGATGATGGTCTTTTCATGTTAATAATTGTCTAATTAATAGTTTATATAACATTTCAGGCTTTAAAGAAAGACCCTGCAATAGGCAGATTTAGTTCTTGCATAATGTATGTTTAAGAAAGCAAAATCAAAATATCAACGCTAGATAATCTTTTATTCAACCGGATTATAAACAGGCCCATCAATTTTGTTCACGGAAAATAAAAATAGTTATCTCATAGATCAATGGAATTTTCATTTCACCATATCCTTGTAAATACTGAACAGAATTTTGGACTGATATTCCTATTAGAAGATTCAACTTTCACAATATTGTAGTTTACAATTATACAAAGGATTCCTATAGCACTAAAATCATGCTGAGAGTCTTTATATATTATCCAATTCCAAAATATTTATTGGTTGTGAAAAAAATATTTTAATTGATTTAACAACACTGTTACATCACACATATTCACAGTAGATTGTATGTAAATTTTGAAACAAATCTAAGAAGCTACTTTATGCCCCATTTTACCAGGCATACAATTGTTTTTAGTGGATTTCAAGAGACTTACGAAAAATATTTTACTCTGAAGTAAGTGAATGCAATGAGTTTAAATAATTAGTTCGAGTCAAATATTACTTTGAAAATAATAATATCTAAAATTATTTGCATATAATTTGTTGTAGAGAGTGACATTGCCTCTTTAGGTATAACTAGAACATGGTACATACATGTATTTGTGTGTATTCCTAATTAATAATTAGATTTATTACCAACAGCACTAGGGTAAAAAGACTTATTAATCAACAAAAGGAAACATTATTGTGGTTGTCATTTTAGATCAATCTTAGAAAATACAGGAATGTACGGAATTAAGTCAAGGAGCAAACGTTTTTTTTATTATTTAATTACCAGTCTTTGAAAGTGCAGAACTTAAAGCTATGTATGACAAAAATAGAAAACATTCTGTACTTTAATAATAACAAATCTGTATGTACAGTTCTCTCTTAATATCCCATCATTTAATAACCTTCTACAATCCCATCAATTATAATTAACTACAATGGAATGTAACAAAGCACTTTTACTGATATTATGAAATATAAATCTGTTAAATGTATTTAATAATATGCATTATCAACTATTTACAATAACACTTCAATCACACTTAGATTAGAACAGAATATTATTTACAATACAGGTGAAAGGAGGAATAGATATACGTTAATATTATTACTAGCACAATGAAGTAAATGAACATGTTAAGTTGAATTTTTTAAATTGATTTATGGGTATATGAAGGTGAAAGTTTGAAATATGTAAGTAAGTTTAATAGTTAATATATCACTCAGAAAAATGGATTTAGTGCTGGGGGATATGATCTATTTCAGATATTGCGATACTTGAAAAATACACCAAGTGTATAGAAATAAGCTCATAAAATTATTTCTGGTGGCTTTTGAGACAAATGCTAGCATTTATTATATCAAATGTTGAACATGGACGGCACATGTACAGCATTTTTGTGTTCAAGTAAAAAAAGGCTAAAACAAATATGATTTTGAAAATATTGAAAAAGTATTGTCTAGCATTAGTACATCCATACATGGAAGTTGATATTAATTTAGTTTGTATGTAATCCAGACCATAGTTAAATTATATGTCTGTATCTCAAAATATTACTATATTAGTTCCAGCAGTTTATTGTAAGTCTTCTTATCAGTTTAACCATACCATCTTTGTTAAGTTTATTATATCCTTGTCATCTTGATGTCCTTCATGATATGACAAGAAAGCTTATCGCCCAGATTCATTAGCTAAATTTGTCTACTTTTAGAGAATAATTTGATCTACATAAGTACCAATGTAGAATCATTTCTTCATTGATTGTTGGTTTGTGTCAGGTTTCCAGGTTAAAAAGAGTTTATCAAAATAATTATGATACATGAAACTGAAATTATTTCTTCACCTCTTAAAATCGTGCAACTTATAATTACATGTACACTTTTCCATGGTTGATTTATATCAATACAGTACATTTTACTTCCACTTTTCAGTCATAATTTACTTTTTAGTATTCCTCATATTGAAAACTTTTTTGACAGTTTGATCCACTAGTCACCTCACACGTTGAGTATCATTACTTTTTCATCGTCTTGACTTTAATTAAAATTAGACTGAACCGCTTGAATATCATCACATACACAGCTAATATAGCCTATTGTAGTTCACAACACATAAAGAATACGTGGAAATATAGCTAATAGAAAAATAAATCACACTTCTCAATAACTTAATAAGCTTGAGTTGGAACCTGAAACATTTAAGACAAACATATTGTTAATAATAGTTGAATCACATCTACCAAATCAACAATGTCTAGAGACTTTATTACATGAGATGTGACTAAAATTATAACATGCCTATGTTTTGACTATGGACAACAATGAATAACATTTAAATTAACCACTGACTTGAATATATATGAATTGAAATACAACCCTTGTTTGTTCAAGCTAATACCTGTCATCTTTTTTAAGTGTGTGTGTGTGAAATATCTTTATTTAACGTCCACTTTCACCGAGGTGATATTGCAGACAAATCATCTTAACTGTTTCGTATATGCTGAAGTTAGACATAAAATAGACTCACCTTTTCAACATAATGCACAATTTTACCTTTTGAAGGACGGCCTCTAATAATGGCATAACAGAACATAGTAACAACCATAACAAAGAGAAAATAACTGGTGTGCATAAGATGAAGGTTTATCACAGATCTGTCATGCTGTAAAAAAACAATGAGATGAAAGTGCTACAATTAGAGAGAGAGCAAGAGAAATGGGGTTTAACGTCTACTCGATACAATCTAACATCAGACTAACATGGTTCAATTTTATGTCAATAATTTGCTTGCGTGTAGGGGTCTTCAGCAGTGGGAGGAAACCGGAGGACCCAGAGAAAACCCACTAGGTTGGACAGGCGACCCTACTCCTACTCCGGGGAATCGAAACCACACCAGTTGATTCAATGACAGACCTTATGATACAGTGCGCATGTGCTAACCATTCGATAATGGTACAATAATCTACAAGATTTTTCAATTTGATCAAGGGTCAAAGTATCAATTTCAAGTCAATCATATTGTAACTTTGCACACATTTTAATGTGGGTGTATAAACCCTCTCCATCCTCCTCCCCCAGTAACAAAACTGTATCTATACTAATATTTGTGACTGTCGTTTGTCTGTCTGTCTGTTCGGGGTTGGCGGCTACACTAGGTCTGCCCCGAGTCTGAAATTTGGGGTATAGGGGTAGCTCGGACCGGGGAGTAACATAGGCCAGGTGGTGTTAGTCTACCACTTTTGGTTTCGGAGTTATGACCCCCGAGTGAAGCCGGATCTGTTCGGGGTTGGCGGCTACACTAGGTCTGCCCCGCGTCTTAAATTTGGGGTATAGGGGTAGCTCGAACCGGGGAGTAACATAGGCCAGGTGGCGTTAGTCTACCACTTCCGTTTTCGGAGTTATGACCCCCCGAGCGAAGCCGGATATCCTGCTAGTAATACATAAAAACATTTATTCCAAACTGAATCTTAGACTATGAATACTTACCAACGATAGCATTACAGTTAGAGTTGGATCAAGTTTATACTTCATTTGTATTACTGGACGACTCCTACACCAAACTTTATTCTTTCTTCCAGAAAAACCTATCATTTTGACGTGGTACTCTACTCCACCCTCTACAACTGCTGGACACTGTTTAGGTCGACTGATAAAAGACAGATTCAAATTATTGTAATAACTAGTTTTTATGTCTGTTGTTGGTATGCACATCTTTACTTATTCCTAGTTGATCAGGAAACAAAATACCTTTGGCAAGTTGAACGAAATTAAGTCTTAGGAAGCATTAGAAAGTCACAAAAAGCAGAATAATCTTCCAAGAAACAGACTAATGTACTATACAAAATTAAAGAATGAATGTCAACAAAGATGTCACACCAATGGAAGAAACAGGAGTATAGCAATAAAATAAACAGAAGAATGATCAAATAAGAGCAATTTTACATCTTAGAAGCACAATAAATGTAGCATATGAAACAAACCAGCGGCTGCCAGGCAAGATACGGCCACATTTTGCAAGCTAAAAACAAACGGAATTTTTGTACAATCAGGGGCAATGAATAATTCAGAAAGTTATGGTCTGAAATGCGCAAATATCAAAAGGGACTGAGATCTTTGGGATATAAAGATATGTTTTAAGTTTCATCAAAATCGGATAAAAATTGTGACCTCTAGAGGGTCCACAACCTTCGTAGCATACTTTTACACAATTTGCGTACAAAGTGCGGCCATTTTGTTGGGCAGTTTCATTTCGATTTCCCCGAAATTCGAATTCAACCTTTAAACGGTTTTTAAATTTAGAAAAAAAAATGTGACCTTTAGAGAATCTGCATGCTAAAAATGTGATTTTTCAAACAATCAGGAGCCATAATCCAGGAAGTTATGTTCGGATATACATGTACGCGATTATCAAAAGGAACCAAGATCTTAGTGTGTAATGGTGATATATTCACAAGTTTTTTTTAAATAAAAATTCTGACCTCTACATGGACCGCAAGCTAAAAACGTGATTTTTCGTACATTCAAGGACCATAATTCAGGAAGATACAATCCGATACGCGCGAATATTGAAAAGAACCAAGATCTTTGGGTTATAAACATGTATTTCAACTTTCATCAAAATCGGAAAAAAACGTGACCTCTAGAGGGTCCACAACTTTGATCTACCAGATGTTTACACTCAGCGGTGGAAGACGACAACAATTCACGTACGGTAGGTCCGATGTAGCTCGAGGCTAGTAACAGGAGGACATCTAAACTGGGATCTCAGCGATACATGGGGGGTTCAGGAAGGCGTAGAAATGAGTAGGCAGGTAGCCCCTCAAACCAGTGAAGATAGACGAACTCCTAGTAGGTTGATAAGTTAATTTATAAGTAAACGTTTCGGACTAATGGCGTCCTTCCTCAGTAATAAATCAACTTATCAACCTACTAGGAGTTCGTCTATCTTCACTGGTTTGAGGGGCTACCTGCCTACTCATATTTGCATAAACATGAGGGGCAGCTATTTTGTCCAGCAGTTTTGGCCCGTTTTTCATGAAATTCGAAGTCAAAAAACATTACGGTGTAACGGTGATATATTCGAACGTTTTTTTTTTTAATCGTGTAATAATTGTGACCTCTAGAGGGACCACAAGCTAAAAACGCAATTTTTCGTACAACCAGAGGTCATAATTCAGGAAGTTACGATTCGATATGCGCGAATATTAAAAGGAACCGAGATCTTTGGGTTATAAATTTTTACGAAATTCGGACTCAACCATCCTTAGGGTGTAACGGTGATATATTGAACCGTTTTTTTCAATCGGATAAAAATTGTGACCTCTATGGGGTCCACAAGCTAAAAATGCGATTTTTCGTACAATCAGGGGCCATAATTCAGGAAGTTATGGTCCGATATGCACGAATATTGAAAGGAACTGAGATCTGTGGGTTATAAACTTAATTTCAAGTTTAAACCAAATCGGTTAAAAATTGTGACCTCTACAGTGTTCACAAGCTAAAAACGTGATTTTTCGTACAATCAGGGGCTATAATCCATGAAGTTATGGTCTGATAAGCGCGAATATCGAAAGGAACCGAGATCTGAGGTTGATAAACCTATATTTCAAGTTTCATTGAAATCAGATAAAAATTGTGACCCGTAGAGTGTTCACAAACAATTGTGGACGTCTGGACGGACGGACGGACAGGGGCGACGACAACATACGTCCACATTTTCGTCGTATAAAATATAAATCTGTGAGTCTCATAGGTCAGTTAATACCCTTGAATCTCCCAAGTTATGCGTTAGTAAATTATATTTGATCTGTATGAAATATAAAGTTTAGTATACAAAAAACAAGCCTTTTACACTGGTGTTCCAGGGTTGGAACACAGATAACATTTGCATCATCGTAATGACTGTTTCTTGTTATTACACCTGGCAAGAGAAATGATATAATCAAAATTAGCCGGGGCCATATGGAGCTGAATTTCCCCCATTATTTTAACTTCTAACCTAGTTAATGCGTATACTAATATGCTTACTTCTATGTATGTAACTTCTTACTAACACATGTTAATGCGTATACTAATATGCTTACTTCTATGTATGTAACTTCTTGCTAACACATGTTAAATTGGCTATTTACACATGTTAAAATGTTAATTTATATGACTTATTTTTTAAATATTGCAGTTAGAATTTGTATTTTGTTTTATTTCCATTATTACTTTTAATTTACTGTAGCCTGTTTAGTTTCGTTAACATTTTGACATTTCACAAATGTTACGCGATAAAGGCGTCATAATTCTAAGCTTATTTTGGTAACAGATGCCGCTGTTTACAATTGTATGGAGGCTGAGTGGGGACATGTAAAATCTTGCCTTTTTCATAACCCGACAGATAAAAATCATAAAATATTTTATGCCCAAAGTTGTGACAATAGCGAAATATTCTAGATATTTTTAAAATCAAGAAATAGGCTTCCTTGTCGTGCATTTTCCCTAATACTGCTATATCGATTGATTTGGCCTATTTTGTTTCTAAAAGAACAATAAAATATATAGTAAGAACCAGTGATGAGATTTCAAAAATTTTCTTGTCGGACATTTTACTGAAAATAAAGGGGCATAAACTCTTATCGATATATAAGCAGACGGATTATACCACAATTAAAAATCATGTGTTAACAAAATATTCAAATGCCATACGTGATAAAAATAGGTAAACCTCACTATTTTTCATATTTAATTCTCGTACGGTATTCAAATTTATGTCAGTAACATTCCTACAAAATAACTCCTGCTTCGGCATCAAATTCAGAATAGTTGGCATCACGTGGCTTTGTTTATACAACAGCAATTGAATGCAGAACTCCCGGAATAAGAATCGTTTTCTTCTTTATACGATAGAACGAAAGCTTTCCAATCCGTACCTATTTATAAAAAGGCATAGTTTCCCTCAGCGTATGGCGTACGTGACTCATAGCACATAGCTTCATCGTAAGCACTGCCTTGTTAGCGATTTTCGTTCAGCAATTGAACGTGTCAATCACGTGTAAGCAAAATATTCAAATGACGTACAGAATAAAAATAGGTGAACCTCGTTATTTTTCATATTTAATTCCCGTACGGTATTCAAATTTTTGTCAGTAACATTCCTACAAAATAACTCCTGCTTCGGCATCAAATTCACAATAGTAGGCATTAGTGTCTTTGTTTATACGGAAGCAAATAATGCAGAACTTCCGTAAAATAAGAATCGTTTTCTTCTTTATAAAATGTTAACAAAATATTCAAATCCGCGCGCGTGTTCAAATTTATGTCAGTAATATTCCTATAAAATTAAGCGTTTTCGTAATACGATAGAACGAAAGCTTGCCGATCCGTACCTACTTATAAAAAGGCATAGCTTCCTTCAGCATATGGCGTACGTGACTCATAGCGCATAGCTTCATCGTAAGCACTGCCTTGTAAGCGGTTTTCGTTCGGCAATCGAGATCGCGGGAAAGTGTCACTGTTGATAAGAATTTCTATATGGAGTCTTAAAACCATAAAAGACGTAAAAGATATCGCAGAATGACTATCCATTGATTTGGGGTGTTATATACATGTACGTACTCTAATGATATGTGACATCTAAGACTAGTTTATACATGCTGTCGGTTGGCACCTACTGTGATTAAAATGTCCGACAAGTCAATGTAGAGACCACGAGGTAAACACGTAGATTATTATATGTTCGTTAAAAAAGTATTAACATTAGTGTTACTTTGCTCTTATTTATTGAAAAATTTTCACAAGTTGTTTTCCTTTATTTTGTTAATGTAGAATGGTAATGAACTGCTCTTTTCATTTTCTTTGTTTTATTTGTTTCGTTTGAATTTGATTTATCTGTTTAGTTTTTGATTGTTTAATTTTTGTTAAGAAGTTGATTCTTTTAAACTTCGTTTTTTATTTTTGAACTCTACTTGGTGTAGGTGTTCATCAGGTAATACCTCGACTGAGTTCAATATAGAGATTAGCCGGTTGATTTGTTGGATATAAACCTTTGAATAATAGCGCCTAACAGGCAGCTGTGTTTAATTGTGTTTAATTATGTTCTCCTGATTTTGATTGTTTCTGTGTGTTTGAAGTAAATGTTTGTGATATGCGCTTAGAAACACTTCACGTGTAATGAAGCGTGATATAAATCGAACAATAATAACAATAACATCTGTTTAAGATTAGATTGATGAATTGTCCGATAAAAGATTAAGCCAGTCAATGATGTCAGATTAAGTAGTTAATCAAGGTAGGTGTATAGACGGTATAACACGATAAATACGTTGATCACTTAATTACCTAATCAATCCAGCCTATTATTAACGATAATCGGGTTGAGTGGTACTTATACACTCAGTACACTATATTAATTTTGGAATTTTGAATATTATTCACCATATCTTGATGTCCGATTGGGCATATTCCTGGTCGGACAATTTTGGACGTTCAGAAAATAGGGTCGGACATGTCCGGAATATACGGGCAAAATCCCATCACTGGCAAGAACTCATTACGTCATGCATGAGAGTGAATAAATAAATATAAATAGGTAATGATTAGTTTAGGTTATCTTTTCCCCTCAAAATTATGAAATATTTTACGCACACAAGTATTTTTGAT